CAGACCCACAGACCCTTCGTATATCACCTCGTTTATTTGCTGTATCCAGTGGCAGCTGACTGGCTTATTACTTTGTTGTTACTTCTTACCTTTCACCAGAAATGTAAGCTCTATGCAAACAGGGATTTCCATCTGTTTTATTCACTCTTGAATCTGCAAATTTCAGAAGTGCCCACCACAAAGTAGGTGCTCCATAGATGTTGGTTGGATAAACGAAAGGAATCTATAGTGGCATCTAATGATATCAAAGAAAGCTTCATGGAGGAGGTGGCCCTTAAGGAAGGTGGATTTTGTGTGCGTGTGCGTGGTAAATATATATAACAAAATATTTACTATTTTAACCATTTTGAAGTGTACAGTTTAGTGGCACTAAGTACATTCACATTGTTGTATAACCATCATCACTATCCATTTCCAGAATTTTTCATCTTCCCAAACTGAAATTTTTTATTAAACAATAGTGCCCCATTCCTCCCTTCCCCCAACCCCTGGCAACCACCATTCTACTTTCTGTCTCTATGAATTTGACTTCTCTAGGTACTTCATGTGAGTGGAATCAGACAATATTTGTCTTTGTGTGACTGGCTTATTTCACTCAGCATAAGGTTTTCGAGTTTTATCCCTTGTATCCCACATGTTGTAGCACGTGTCAAATTTTTTTTTTTTTTAAGGCTGAATGATATTCCTTTGCACGGATGTACCCCTCTTGCTTATCCATTCATCTATTGATGGACATTTGGGTTGTTTCTACCTTTGGGCTATTGCGAATAATGCTGCTACGCACATTGTTGTATAAGTATCTGAGTCTCTGCTTTCGATTCTTTTTGATGTATAACCAGAAGTAAAATTGTTGGATCTTATGGTGATTCTCTAACTTTTTGAGAAATTGCCAAACTGTTTTCCATAGCAGCCGCCACCATTTACATTACCACCAGCAACGTACAAGGGTTTCACTTTCCCCCCATCCTCACCAGCACTCGCTATTTTCTGGTTTTAGATTAGAGCCATCCTAATGCATGAGAAAGAGGGTGGAATTTTGACAAGTAGGATGAGCCAGCCTTTCAGGCAACAGAGGCCTGGAGGGGCGATTGTATGAACTGGATTCAGTCGTCCACAGTCTGATATCACAAGCCACGCGGGGTTCTGTTCACCTCCCTCTCCTGGAAATAGACCGCTTTTATAGAGTATCGGAAAGCACCTGCCTCCTGGTACCTTCCATTGCTGCCAGGCTTCCTGCTGGTGCAGGTGTGCTGGGGCATCACTGTGAGAGGGGGTGAGCCAGGGACAGGGCAATGGGCATGCAGGCAGGCTGACCAGCCACCCACATCACAATCGCCAGGGTCTGTGACCAAAACAGTGCTCACTCATCTCAAAGACAGGTGTGGCGGTGGGACACAGCAGCGGGGCTCTCCACGCGGCAGAGGCACCTGGAATTGGACAGGCAGGAACATTGTCCTTCCTTAGCAGAAGGAAGGGTAGGTTCTGCCAGCACTGATGCTGGTCCTCAGCCCCAGGAGAGAAGCTGCCTGTGCATAAAAAGAAGGTGCCACAGGGGCCACAGCCGGCAGAGTAGAGTGGGGCTCAGGGCAGTGTTCTCTGGGAATGAGAGGGAGCACCCATCAAGAACTTAGGGGTCCATGCACACAAGGTAGGATGAGCTTGAGCTCCCCTGTGCCTAGGCAGTGAGGCCTTGTAGAACTTCAGGGCTGAGGATGGGGGTGGGTGGACCCCCAAGCTGCTATTGTTCAGCTGGGAGGGCAGTACCTGGCAATTTCCTTCACTGTGGACACCCTGCTTCAGAAGGGTGCCTCTGAGTCCTAGGCCTGGGCCTTGCCTCCTTGGGCAGTTCTGAGCTCTGGTTCATGGGGCCTGCATGCTGGAGCCAGCTCATATGGCCCAGCATCACACCATACCTTCCTTGCACATCTCTGCACTTGGTGTTCATGGCGTTATGTTGACAGCTTGAAGTGGGCTGTGGCGGGAGCACTGACACCAAAGAAATTGGTAGAAACTATAACTCAGGGCTTATTTTCCCAAAAAAGGTGGTTATTAAACATTATCAGCATATCACTTGCCCTGCTATCAGAGTTATTTGTTTGATAGATAAATCTGATGTTCTAAACAGCTCTCGGGCCGGCCCGGTGGCGCACTGGATAGTGCGCCGCTTGGGAAGCGCGGC